ACTTGAAGATAGAAAAACATGTGAGCTTGTAGGCTAAGAGAACATAATCTTGACTCTCTAATAGTATCTTTGGCCTGGGAGGAAGTCGGAAAGCAGATAATGGGGATAATTCAGATTGGGAATTAGTATGATGGAAGATGTGAAGGTTAATAAATTTATAAAGTACTGTTGTGGGTAGCTTTGAATGCTAATGACATGCCGCATTATAAATATGCGTGCTATACATTTAGATGTAGAATTATCATTAAAACAAGGTTTTATTTGTTTAGAACTCTAAATCAATTACATGCTAGTCTCTGGATTTAATAGAATTATACCCAAAAATAATTGTTGAATCATAATATCTGCAAGATATTGCAGAGCTTCAATATTGAAGGTCATTTAGTTTTTGCATTCTCATCAGTTGTTTTCTGTGTTACTATTGAACACAATGCTTGAAAAAATTTGCCTAATTTTAAAGAGTGCAGAAAATAGGTATCAAGTTCAACTTGGAGGTTAATTTTATTCAAATGTCAATGTGTTTCATCATCCAACTGTAAGATAACAAGTAGAGAGGGGCGCCTGAGTGGCTCAGTTGGTTAAGCGTCCGACTTCGGCTCAGGTCATGATCTCACGGTTTGTGGGTTCGGGCCCCACCTCAGGCTCTGTGCTGACAGCTAGCTCAGAGCCTGTTTCAGATTCTGTGTCTCCCTCTCTCTCTGACCCTCCCCTTCTCATACTGTCTCTCTCTCAGAAATAAATAAAACATTAAAAAAAAAAGATAACAAGTAGAGAAATGTGTACTCTGGGAACATTCAGGGTAGTGTTCTGTAGTCCAGTTAAATGTTGCCTGACACCTTTCTCCCCTCTGACTCGTTACTTAGAACTCACAAATTATAATGGGAAGAAAAATATTATAGTTTAATTTTATTTTTTTTTCAATTTTTTAAAACATTTATTCATTTTTTGAAAAAAAAAAGGGGGGGCGCCTGGGTGGCTTAGTCGGTTAAGCGTCCGACTTTCACTTAGGTCATGATCTCGCGGTTTGTGGGTTCGACCCCCGCATCGGGCTCTGTGCTGACTGCCAGCTCAGAGCCTGGAGCCTGTTTCAGTCTGTGACTCCCTCTTTCTCTGACCCTCCCCTGCTCACGCTGTCTCTCTCTCTCTCTCTCCCCCCCCAGAAATAAATAAAAACATTAAAAAAAAATTTATTCATTTTTTGAGAGACCGAACGTAACGGGGAGAGGGGTAGACAGGGAGACACAGAATACGAAGCAGGTTCCAGGCTCTGAACTGACAGCACAGAGCCCAATACAGGGCTCGAACTCACAGACTGGGAGATTTGACCTGAACCAAAGTTGGACGCTTAACCAGCTGAGCCACCCAGGCACCCCAGTAAAGTCTTTTTTTTAACTTTAGTGTTCACATACTAGAACTTGATAATAATATTGTCTTTTAGAAAGTCAGCTTTAATGAACAGATAAGAATAATTTATATCAAGTATGTCAAAGCACTAACCTAAGCAATGTGTGTTACAGCAGAAATTATGTGCTGATTATAAATAGATGATATTAAAGGGCTTTGGGGGAAATACTTTATGCCATTTGGTTGCTTAGGAATTTTTTTAATAGATAGTGCAACTCTCCTTAGGGCCTCTATTTACTTACCTATAAATTAGGTAAAGTGGCTGGGGCATCTGGGTGGCTTAGTCGGTTAAGCGTCCGACTTCGGCTCAGGTCATGATCTTGCAATTCGTGGGTTTGAGCCCTGTGTCGGGATTTGTGCTGACAGCTAGCTCAGAGCCTGGAGCCTGTTTCAGATTCTGTGTCTCTCTCTCTCTCTGACCCTCCCCTGTTCATGTTGCCTCTCTCTCTCTCTCTCTCTCAGAAATAAATAAAACAAAAAAAATAAATAAATAAAATAGGTAAATTGGGCCATATTGTTTCCTCTTAAGTTTTAATATACATGGAGATCACCTGGGTATCTTATTAAAATGCAGATTTTTTTTTTTTCAAATAGTTTATTGTCAAGTTGGTTTCCATATAACACCCAGTTAAAATGCAGATTCTGATTTAGTAGTTCTGGCATTTTGGCCTGAGAATATGCATTTTTTAAATGTTTATTTATTCTGAAAGACACAGCGAGCAAGCCAGGGGAGGTACAGAGAGAGAGGACTTTAAGTAGGCTCTGCTCCATCAGTGCAGAGCCTGGTGTGGGGCTTGATCTTGCGAACCAGGAGATAATGACCTGAGCCGAAACCAGAAACCAAGAGTCAGACGCTTAACTGACTTAGCCACCGAGGTGCCCTGTGAATCTGCATTTCTGACAAGTTCCCTGGTGACACCAATTCATGTAGTTCACACAGTACACCTTGAGTACCATGGAGCTGGCTGGTTTGTATTGCTTCATGTTTGGGGCGCCTGGGTGGCTTAGTCAGTTAAGCATCTGACTTTCGCTTAGGTCATGATCTCGCGGTTCATGGGTTCGTGCCCTGCGTCGGGCTCTGTGCTGACTGCCAGCTCTGAGCCTGGAGCCTGTTTCGGAGTCTGTGACTCCCTCTCTCTCTGACCCTCCCCTACTCATGCTGTGTCTCTCTCTCTCTCCTAGAAATAAATAAAAAGACATTAAAAAAAAAAAAAGAAGTGCTGTGTATTGCTCCATGTTTAACATAGAATTGAGCAAAATCTTACTAACTCAGTTGTAAAATATATAAAACTACAATAAAATGAGATAAGGGATAAAAATGAAGTTTATCTTTTACTTAAGGCTTTTTGGTTGAAAGGAGCAGAAATAAGTTTAAACTAGCACCAATAAAAAGGGAGATTCTTATAAATATATACGAGACAATCTCAGGGCACCTGGGCAGCTCAGTCGGTTAAGTGTCCAACTTCGGCTCATGCCATGATATCGCCGTTCTTGAGTCAAAGCCTTGCATCAGGCTCTGTGCTGACCTTGCGGAGCCTGGAGCTTGCTTCAGATTCTGTGTCTCCCTGTCTCTGTGCCACTATCCCCTCTCTGTCTCTCTCTCTCACAAAAATAAACATTAAAAAAAAAAGGCAATTTCACTGGCATCCATGAGCAAGAAATGAAATATAGGTAGGTTTCAAGGGAAGTGGAAAGTTAGAAGTTAACAAGTAGGTTGGCTCTATCTCCCACTTCGGCTCTCCGGGTTTTTGTTTTAACTTCCCCTCTTACATTTTCTGGTACATGTCTTTGGCTTGCCTTGTTGTTATCTGTGGCCTTCACTGGTTGATCTTTCAGCCTCAAGACCCACCATCTCTTGACAACAGTATCTCTTTTAGTTCAAATTTTTAATAGACAATTTGGGCAGCCAATAATGAATTGTTCCTACTTGAGTCAGGTGTCCAACCTTGGGCAAGTTAGCCGTCAATCGTTTGGGAAGTTAGAGTGTTGGAATCAAACTGTAATAGGGCTGATAAGATTAGCCGCTTTGAGAGGAAGGGGAACATGAGAAAGTTTCAGTGAGGAGGAGGGTGTTACTAGACTATGCAATGATACCTGTCTAATACATTTATATAAATGTAAATAGAGTACAGGCATTTGTTTAGGATACTTCATAAAATGTATGTATAAAAGTTACACAGGCAGTAGTTAGGGAGGGGCATAGTGGTAGATTCATTCTCAAGAACTAAAAATAATCCTTATAGCATGTATATATTTTTTAATCCCCTGAACGTTAAAAGTATGTATATGGGATAATGGTAAATGTGCAAAATAAAAATTGAGCCACCACTTCTACTTTTCCCCAGAGAGCACTACTGAGGTATCTTGGCCTTGCTACTGACTTTCTGGTAAAAACAGCCTTGCCATTCTTGGGCTTGCTGTTTCCTAGATCTCATTCCATACTTTTACCTCTTCATTTTTAAATTTATTTTTATTTTTAGAGGGAAAGTGAGCATGTGAGCTACATATAACACCCAGTGCTCATCCCACCAAATGCCCTCCCTTTTGCCTCCCTCCCTTTCCCCAACTATTTTTCCCCTTCTTCTCCCTCTTGGTCCTCCATTAGCTTCCTCCTAATATACCTACATGTGCAAATATATGGTATCTGTCCTTCTCTGTTTTATTTATTTCTGAGAGAGAGAGAGAGTCAGCCTGAGCAGGGGAGGGTCAGAGAGAGAGGGAGACACAGAAATCCGAAACAGGCTCCAGGCTCTGAGCTAGCAGTCAGCACAGAGCCTGATGTGGGGTTGGAACCCACGAACCGTGAGATCATGACCTGAGCCGAAGTAAGACACTTAACCAACTGAGCCACCAGGTGCCCCCAGAGGGAGAGAATCTTAAGCAAGCTCCACACTCAGTGAGGAGCCTGACACAGAGCTCGATCCCATGACGCTGGGATCATGACCTGAGCCAAAATCAAGAGTTAGACACTCAACTAACTGAGCCACCCATGCACCCTATTACTTTTATCCTGCGTATAATTTTTCAGATAACATGAAGATTACCTTGTGAGGGAATGTGAACAAATTCTGCCATTCTTGGAGTCCCAGAGCGCCACCCAAAACATTTGAGGCTCAACTATATTCTGAAGTCCTTGGTGTAAAAAGAAAGTACTGTATTAACATTCACCAGTTGTATTAGTCAGTCTCTGGGTTCTTGTGACAGTTGAAGTAATTGCCTTATTACCTCATTTTTCCTAAGAGGCCATTCTGTCTATGCTGTCAGCTCCCAATATAGATACATAAATATGAAAGTCAGTGATAGTAATCTAGAGCAATGGCCTTTTTTCCCCTTCGGCTTATCAGCAAATCAATGCTACAAATTCTGGTGTTCTGTTTTTCATGCTTCTGAAATAGATATATCCCCCAAAAATAATATGCCTGGTTAATTAACAGCAAATAACGTCAGTAGTTAAAATTTTATGTGAAAACTGTTTGGGCAAAAGTATGAACAGTTTATGGGGGAGGAAAGTCTTTAAGGAAATTATTTGCTCACTTGGAATACTGTCTTTTTAAAATATTTATCTTAATTATAGCTTTCTTTTTCTCTCCTTTCAGAAAAAGCATGTGCAGAAGCTGGGTCAGCAAGAATGTCACTTCTTATATTGGTGTCCATTTTCTTATCTGCAGCTTTTGTTATGTTTTTGGTATATAAAAATTTTCCTCAGCTTAGTGAGTAAGTATACAGAAGAAACCCAAAAATTGCCTAGACATTTGTAGATAAAGTGGATTAAAAGTTAAACAAATGTGAACCAACAGAACGGTCATGGTGATTATATATTAGCTTTCATGATTTGTAACAAGTCTTCAGTGACACTGTTAGTTAAGTACTCCTTCCCACGTATGCCTCCTGATTGTCTATGTAGGGTTTTCCTAGCACTGCTTCTCTAATTAAAGCCTCATTTTTCTAATGGCTTTCAAATTAAAAAAAAAAAATGTAACCAAATTAAGAAATAGATTTTTATGTCATGATCCTGTAGGCATGTGCCTGTCTCTTCAAGTTTCCTGAAACAGGTGGTGGTCTCTGATATTTTCTAAATTACTCTGTTTATTTTATTAATGCTAGTAGTGACCAAGCAAGCTTATTTTAAAATCCATAAAAGTTACTGATCTGTAGTTTGAAAAAACATTGATGCTCTTCTCTGCTTTCCCTGCCTTTCCATCCATGTTTTCTCCCTTCCTTCTTGTGATCAGTTTGTCTGTTTCTATTCATCCATTTCTATCCCTACCACATCTCTCTCCTCTACCTCTTTTTCTTTTCCCTGTTTTATGGAAATGATATGATCTGAATGGTAGTTTTCACAGTGAAATGGGCTATGTTTAAAAAAAAAACAAAACCTTGTATTATTTTATCTAATATACATCCAGAATTCCTTAGCCAAAACTTGGGGTGAAATGTGTTTCAGAAGTTAGAATTTTTCCATTTTGGACAGATGACATGGAACAAATACTGTCTATTATGTAGTACCTCTAGCAGGATCTGGGGCAGCATCCCATAATCAAATACATTCATAATTTTTGCAGAGGAATGGGCATCATAAAAGACTATAAATAATTATATCAGTGTGGGTCAATTTTTGCTGGCAAGAATATGAAGAACTTTTTGGTTTTCAGAGTTTTTTGAATTTTAGGGAAGAAATAATGGAACTGAAACATACTTTAAGAAAGCAAAATATCCCAGGGCTGTTTAACCACAGTAATACCACCCTTTATAATCATAAATTACATAAAGGACTTACTAAAATGTAGTTAGACTTTCTATCAGAGTCAGATTAGTGTGGAAATGAAGAACTGTGAAATGCTATTTCAAGGTGTTTGCAAGTTCCTATTTCCTCTAAATTCCTTTCATTAACAATTCCTCATCTAGAAATTTTCTAATTAAATTTTTATTTTTATTTTCATACTTTGATTTCATATGTCTGTGTAAAATGCCTTTGGGAGGCTAGCATGTTATATTGTTAGGATAATATTAGTATGATTGAATTTTAGATCCTTTCTGGTTTTGATCAGGGAGGCAATAAAGATCTGACTAAAAGAGGGCAGGAGTATAGAGTATGGATTAAAGTTGTCTTTGCTCCCAATCTGCCCTAAGAATGGTAACATCACTTGTATACAAGTGTGCTGTTATAAACCTGTTCTGTTCTGCTTATTTCTCTGTGTGTGTGTGTGTGTATACGTATGTGCACACCCCTATAAAGAGTTTTTTGGTTTTTTCATTTATAAATTAGAAAATAGTTTACCTACTATTTTTATAGAAATTAGGCAGCAGTCTATCATTGTTCTGCAAGATCAGTTAAATTTTATCATGTAAACAAATGGGCATAATATACATTAAACACAAATGTAATTATTTGAGCCTTTTATAAGCAAGAAATCATTCAGTTCCAAATAAGACACCAATTATAAAGTTAATAGAAAAGGAAAAATGTTTCCAGAAAATATGTGAACTGTAAATTCATCAAAAATTTTACTTAATTTTAGTTGTAATTAATAATTGATTTTAGCTTATCATGAGGATTACCCAAAATGATGTTAAATATGTTTTGAATATGCTAACATCATTAGTCCAGTTCTTAATTCAAAATTTATACCAGTATTGGTGCAAATGCTTTTAACCTAATTTAGTTTAGTCATTCTGAACTTTCATACGTAGATTACATATCTCAAGAAATTACATTAAATCATTAAAGACAAATAATTTATAGACTTTTGAACTTAAAGCTTAATGAATTTATGGTTACTATAACACAGATCAAGGCGCCAAATCATTTTGGATAAAACTTCATGTTTTGAACTTGATTTTCATATTAATTATCTTGGCAAATTTCTGCTTTAAAATTTTTCACTTTAATTTTATTTCCTTAGAGAAGAAAGAGTGAATATGAAGGTTCCCAGAGATATGGATGATGCCAAGGCTCTAGGAAAAGTTTTATCCAAATATAAGGACACCTTTTATGTACAAGTACTTGTAGCTTATTTTGCTACATATATTTTGTATCCTTTTAACTGAAAAAACTGTAATCTAGTTTTGTTTAAGAAAGAGTTCTTAAAAGGTCTGTTTAGTTATGCATAACTGTTTTTTTCTTTTAGTAGTTATTCTATGTAATAATATTAAATAAAATATTGACAAATTAAAATGGAAAAAAATTCTCATTTTACACCAATCTCCTCAACTCAGTTATTATTTTTTTTTCATATTTACTACCTATTCTTTTGTATTCTGCTTATTTCACTTATAAACATTTTCCTTTCCTCTACATTATTCAAGATAATTAATAATCTATTTAATTTATGATTGTATTAGTTAATTGGTTATTTTAATTTAGTTTAATTATTTGAATAGTCACCACAACAAAATTTAAAAAATATTCCCTTAGGTTTGAAGATATAACTTGTAATTAATTTTTTTCTTTTCTACATGTTGTTATAAATCTTTTTGTTCATGTTTTTTTCTTCCATTTAAGGGTTTCTTTGTAAAAAGATCTTAAGTGGAAAATTAGTCATTCAAAGATATAAATTTTTAAAATAAACCTTGGTATGTATTTCTTTGTTTTATAGAAATATATGTTGTATTAACTAGTCAGGAAAATAGCTTTTTTCTCCGTACATATTTTCAAACTGCTTATGCTACTGATGATTAGTCTTCCAGTTATGGGCTTTAACTTTAATCCGATTTTTGTATCTCTTATTTTAATCCAACCTATTTTCAAATCTTCTCATTTAATGAAACACATTATGTCTTGATTCTGTAAAAGTAATCATTATCCTTTTTAAACCAGCATTTATTTTTAAAAGTTAAACTAGTTACTTTTTAAATTCTCTCAAACTGTTTCTGTTCCTGCTTCCTCTTTTATTTCCTGAATTTCTTTTGGCTATTGGACTTCTCAATTTAAACCTTTTCTTGTAAAATTGATTAGCATTTTCTTTTCTTGGATTTAGATTAAATTAGATGTTACATATTTAACATACATAGTTTTTCTATACTTGCCTCCTTACACAAATATTGTGAGTATATTCTTAAATATCCTGGACCAGTTATTTCTAGCATAAGCAGTTTGTTATAAGTATGTTAACAAAAACTTTTGCTGATAATACAAACATTCCTTTATCTACCTAGTAAGAATACATTTTTATTTAGGCACTTTGTCATTATCCTTCCTATTTATCATGAAAACAATTCAAATTCAGGAAAAATTTAGGGAATAATTATTATGCATTCGTCTTTCAGCAGGTTATTTTGTAGCTATTTGCAAAGTAATTTAATAATGTATAAAGTGTTTTAAGAAATTCATAACTGCTGCCTTTTCCTACTAATTCCATTTTTAAATGTATCTGGGAAAACCATAGTGTTAGACTTAAAGGTTATTTTGCCTCTAAAAACTTTAATTATAAATTAAAATATTTTCTCCAAGTAAGATAAAAATTTGGTTTTTTTATTTGGCTTTTAAAAAGGTTTTGTGAACAAGGCATATAGTTTTTGTTTACTTTGGAAAGTTATCTTGGGTTTTTTTGACCTATTTTGCCTCTTAGCTTTGGGAGGGATACATGGCTGAGGAATAAAGGGGATACCCACCTATAAGAACAGTCAATCAGTTAGCATAAATGGATCTTGACAGTCTCTGGGGTAATAAATGTTATAACCTAGTTGTTTAAATATCCATATGCAAATTAGTAGAAAAGTATAAACTGCCCTGTAGAAAATGAATTTAAAGTATAAGAATGGTTTTATTATTACAAAATACATTTGGTTTGAAGTTTTAAATTTGTTTATTTTTTAATTGTTTTTTAATGTTTATTTATTTTTGAGAGAGAGAGAGACAGAGTATGAGTGGGGGAGGTGCAGAGAGAGAGAGACACAGAATCCAAAGCAGGCTTCCGGCTCTGTGCTGACAGCTCAGAGTGGGGCTTGAACTTAAGGACCGCGAGATCACTATCTGAGCCAAAGTCAGACACTTAACTGACTGAGCTAGCTAGGTGCCCCTAAGTTTTAAATTTTAAATATTGGTTAATAGTAAAAACATATATATTGGGTAATATTGTCAGTTCAGAAGGCTTTATTGCATACTGTTATTGTTGCCTTGATAAGTGATTGTAATGATTTCACATCTCATTTTAGATTTTTATAGTATTTGTTAAATTTATGTTGTCTTATAATTTTCTATTTTCACTTTTGAATCTGAAGCTCTGTATTAAAAAGGTACTTTTTAAAACTCAGTGAACAAATGACAGAGACCTTATCTTAGGGCATATAACTGATACAGTGTTGATTAATAGAAAGAAATATAATAATGTGAACTACATGTGATTTTAAAATTTTCTAGTTGGCACATTAGAAAAAGTAAAAAAAACACTTAAAATCAGTTTAAGTAACACAGTTTACTTGAACGAGTGTATCAAAATAGTATCATTTTAACGCATAATCAACATAAAAATTGAGATATTTTACATTCTTTTTTTCATACTAAGTCTTTGAAATTTGTGTATTTTGTACTCATAGCACTTCAGTTCAGACTACACACATTTCAGTGTCTCCATAGCTACATGTGGCTAGTGGCCACTGTCTTCAGCAGTGTAGTACTAGTACCTTTACTGGTATTATCTAACTTCAAACTCTTGAATATAAATGACTTTTTACATTATAATTACTTATTTTATTCATAATCAGTTTTTTGAGTTACTAATTATATGCTAAGTACAAATCTAGTGAGCATTCAAGGGTTGAGCAACTATTACCGTCTGGGGCAATAGGGAATTATGGGTAGAGACAGTATCATTCTGGTTAGAGCAAATCTAGAACAAAGTTTACAAGCACAGGGTGTGGTTAACGAGTGATCAGTCATCCAGTTCAGTTGGAGTATAGGGAGTAAATAGGGGAGGACAGAGAAATAAGTATAGAGAGATAGGCTAGACACTGCACTCAGACTGTAGTACCAGGCTAGGGAATTTAGGGAATTTAGAATATTCAGTGGTATTGGGGAGTCACTGAAGACTTTTGAGCTATGGATGACATTAAAAGTGTCACCATCATCTCTTTTTTATTTCCCTAAGACTAAAATCACAGAGTAACTTAAAAATTTCTTTCATTAAAGAAAAGTTTAAACCTACACAAAAGTAGAGAAAAATCATACAGTGGACTCCTGTATACCCATCATCCAGCTTCAATGGTTAACAGTATTATGCCAGTTTTGTTCTTGGTGGTTACTTTTATTTAACTTTGTATTTTGGGCCATTTAGAGAAAAAGGGAATAGGCAGAGGACTGTGTTTAGGGTTGGGAAAGGAAAATAACATTTACTTTGATTTAGGACATGAAGAATTTTAAATATTCAAATAGAAGTATCCATACCGAAATGTCAGTAGGGGACTGGTTGAAGAAGCCACGGTTAGTCTAATCACTGCAGTGTATTCTGTAGCTATTCAAAAATGAGAAATGTCTCTATGTGATTAAGGCATTCTTCCCTCCAGGATATAATGTTAAATGAAAAGAGCAAGGTGCAGAATAGTAGGTCAGTATGCTGTGTTTTATCTAAGCAGGGGAGGATGATATGAGTACACACATACATATGGAGATCATTTTGTTATCTTTTTTTGAAAAGAAAGGATATCTTTATTATTTTTTTTAATGTTTATTCATTTTTGAGAGAGCACAAGTAGAGGAGGGGTAGAGAGAGAGAATCTGAAGCAGGCTCCAGGCTTAAAGCTGTCAGAACGGAGCCAGTCATGGGATTCAAACTCAAAACTGATCAGACCTGAGTTGAAATTGTACACCTAACTGACTAAGGTACCCAGGCACCTCAAGAAAGGTTATCTTTAAAAGCCAATACAATGTTTACCTTTGGGGAGAGAGATGACACAGGGTGGAAGTGAAACTTCTCTAGATGTACTTCATTGTGAGGATTTGACTTCAGAACCAAATAAATATTTTATAAATTCAGTTAAATCAGAATGAAAAAATAAACAGGAAAAAATCATTACTTTTGGCCAGGAGACGGGTGGATGAGAAAGGTTGCAAGAAGACAGGGAGAGAATCTCTTGTGAGGAGGTCGAGGTCAAGGAAAGCCTTGGTTTTATGGAGTTTATAGGCATCAGAGTGGGTTTATACAGGAGGGATCCTGTGGAAGAGCAAGGAACTGAAGAGGAAAAGTCAGGAAGAAGAAAGAGGAGATTAAGATGAAAACATGAACTAGAGGGAAAAGAGAGTAGGAGACTAGGTGAAGATGGAATTTTTAAAAGAAGGATAGAGATTGAGGGAATTCACTCTGACTGACTTGTAAGTAAATCATGTTAGGAGTTAGGGGATTGGGGGGATTCCAGACCAAAACTGGGAGCAAGCAAAAAATAATAAAAAAGCATAACCCTGTTTTAAAAATAAGGTTGGTGATCTTTACTCTATTTTGTGACCCCTATCCTTTTTTTAATGAGTAGTGCATTGAGGTAAATGTTTATGAGTTAAATTAGAAACAAGTAATTACTTAAACCCTAGATTTCCAAGGAAACCATGTTTCCTGAACACATTTAGGAGTAAATGCAATGCATTAGAGAAGCATATGATTACTGAAGACTTTTGATCTCTTCTCTCTCTCTCTCTCTTGTTTTCTTTTGTTTCTTTTGCCAAAGTGCCTGATTCTTTATCTGGTCCATATTGGTTATTTGTCTTGGTTTTTCTTTCAGTAACACGTTCTTAACAGCATTGTATTTATAATAATGCTAGAAAATGGTCAATTTAGAGTTACAGTCATCGTAACTGAGTCATAGGTTTTTTAAACTTTTAGATATAATTTTACTTTCTTAATACTGAGATAAGGATGTAATCTTATTAACATGGTAACTTCTGTATTGATACTTTATTCCTGAAATGTTTGTCTTTTAAAAATTCCATTTTATTATGTTTTAATCCTTAACCTAGAAGTTAACAGCTTGCAGACATTTGCCATTCCGGGTTCTATATTTCTCAGTATACTCTCAGGGTTTCTTTATCCCTTTCCACTAGCCTTATTTCTTGTTTGTTTGGTAAGTATATAAAATGAATTTGGGAAACTAGAAAAAAAGTAGCTTTGATAGAATGATAAGGGAGAAGGATGGCATCTGGTCCTACTAGTTTGTGTAAACATAAACTCATTAGTTTTAAGAGGTGATCTTTTAAGTCCCCCAATAAGCAAATGTTATAGTTCGTTTTTTTCCTAGAACAGGAGCACCACAGACTTAATTGCAATTACAGGCTCTGTTTTAGCCTTTACTTCCTATTGTGTTTTGTAATTTAAATAGTCCAAGAGTTTTGGACAGTGAGTTAAGTCCAGGGCTGGAGGTGGTATTTTGAAGCATAGCAATTGAAGAAAGGATTCACTCTTTTGAGTTTTATTCTTAGGCTAGAGGCTATCATTAACTATTTGGATAAATCACTAAGTTTAATCACAAGCGCCAGTTTGTTTTAGCTGTTCTCATTTTAGTTATACTTTTGTCTGAGAAGGGGCTAGATCAAATGGGTTCTTGTTCTCTGCACAAGAGATGTCATGTAGAGTACCCTCCCTTAACCCCCCAAAATATATACTAGTTGAGCTTTTCTTTAAGTGAGTATATCCATGTGACTAAGGTGGAAAAGTACACAATGCTTATGGCTTCTTGTTATTTCCTAGTGTTCTGGACTCGGTGCCTCATTCTGCTATATGCTCTCCTATTTAGTTGGGAGGCCAGTTGTATACAAATACCTAACAGAGAAAGCAGTAAAATGGTCACAACAGGTAAACATGTATTTTTTAAAGTTATTTAGTGTCATTCTGTGGCTAAATTGGGAGGTCAGTGTTTAGTCCCTATATAAATTAACCCAGACTCAGGGCTTTAATAAATACAGTCTTTGGACCGAATAAATTAAACTAGTAGCAAATAATGAATGTTAATCATTTCAAATGTGCAGTTTCTGTACTGTAATAGTAGTTGTAGTTCTTCATTCTTAGTAAGTTTAGTCAGAGCAGAGAAGTCAGCATGTCTGGTGAAGGCATTCACATATTTGGACACCACCTGTTTTGTGTTGATACAGTCCACTGTTGAGGTCACTGAAAAACTTTTATCAACCATCTCCTTGAATGCATTTCATCAGTAGGAATGACTGTTATCTTAAGTCAGGATCTCTACAAAGATATGCAGTGATAAATAAAAGCACCACTACAAGGAAAGGCCTAATATGATATTGCTAAGAAAATCTTGTTTTCAGAAAGAATTGGAAGAAACAACCTGTTAAATCTCAGAGGAATTATAGAAATCATTTTGCCTTACCCTTTTGTTTTACAGACTAGTAAATGAGAAATTAAGCATTTTGCTGCAAATCACAATCATTATTCATAAAGCAAGATCTAGAAGTATAAACTGCTTTTATTTAATTGGCTAAATATCTCCCTATGCTTGTTCAATCTCATTTATCTAATGAATGAATCACTTATGTAATATACATCATAATAACATAAAAATAAAGATTAAATTAGAGACTAAGTTTATTGATGTGCTATACTAGGCCTTTACATTGTAGGAAGTTAAAGGCATTAAAAATTAATCACATGGCATGTATCTTATATATAGTTATAAATTTAATTTTGCTCTTTCAGGTGTAAAGGGTCATTGTTGAGCTATATTATCTTGGCTGATGTAGAACCATCTGTAGTAGTGCAACATTAAGCTATAAGTACAATTAAAAAAAACTCGTTACTTAACTCTGGTAATGAGCATGTGATAAGTAGTTCATTGTCATTTTCAGTGTCCTTTGTTGATCATTTCTGCTGGATAGATTCTGGACTATCAGGGAATGAGAATTTGAAATAAGTATATTAAGGACCTTTTTTTTTTTTTCAATATTGGCCTTATCTTGATCCTAACTGATTTCTTTCTTATGACAGGTTGAGCGTCATAGAGAACATCTCATTAACTACATTATATTTTTGAGAATAACACCATTTCTTCCGAATTGGTTTATTAATATTACATCCCCTGTGATAAACGTGCCATTGAAAGTTTTCTTTATTGGCACTTTTCTAGGTAAGGCCTCTGGTTCACACTGTGTTAGAACTCGTTGTGTACATACCTAACAGTGTCCAGCTGGGCTAGATTCCGTGTTCTTTGCACATATTTCAGCACTGTATATAACTCTTGGGCACAGAGCCCGGCATACATATATAGCTATTCTGAAATGTTTGTTGGGTTGTGTTAAGTGTTTTGTGTTACTTCTTTTAAAGAAGAGTACTTTATTGGATATTTTTTAAATCATACAGTTTTAAGCAGGACTTTAACTCCGTTGTCTCCATTGGTGGAGAGAAAAAAAATCAAGGTGCCCATTTTGAATAATTTACTCCCTTGTCTTGTAATCACATTGAAATATTGAACTTTAATTTTCAATAGAGAGTTGATCCTATTTTTCCTTTTATGGACATTAGTATTTATTATGGGCATTACCAAAAGTATGGGGAAAACAAGGATTCTTGCTTTCAAGGAGCTGGCACTTAATTTTGAAATTAATTAGTGGACATAAAGATTCATTTATGTATTTTGTGAATTCTGATGGTTCTTTGAAAAGAGTATTCTGCTTTTCTTTCAACTTTAATTTGAAATTTAAATTTAATTTAACGCTTACCCGACTGAGCCACCCAGGCGCCCTTAATTTGAGTTGTTTAGATAACAACAAAATGAACAGACCTTTTTTGTATTGAGTATCTGTTAAAGTTTTAAGTTAATACTTACAGATCTTCTTGCAAAGAATAATCAAAATCTGTTTTTTGTTGCTGCTTTTATAGAATTCATTGGGAAACTTAAAAATTTTAGGGATAATTTTGGATTTTGTAAAATAATGTTACAGAATCAGAAGAGAATTTTTGTCCCCATCTCTTTAATTTTACAGTTGGAATACCTGCAGATTTAGTTAACATCAACTTTGGCTTAAGTAATTTTTCCAGTTTGTTCTGGTTTTTAAAAATGTAGTTGTTCCATCCATGCTGTTGTATAAACTGTTCTTATATTTTGAGTATTTTTCCATATCTGAGTATCTCCTACCACTTCATTTTTATTTTAAGTATATTCTGTCAAGGATGAATGACCAATTACTCAATCTTATTTTTGAACATTTAGATTTTTTTCCAGATTTTTGTTATTTATAATGCTTTGATAAACATCCTTGAGCCTAGATCTTTGCTCGTGTACATTAGTATTTCCTAAAGTTGAAATTGCTGGATCAGGGGCGCCTGGGTGGCTCAGTCGGTTAAGCTTCTGACTTTGGCTTAGGTCATGATCTCACAGTTCGTGGGTTCGAGCCCCATGTCGGGCTCTGTGCTGACGGCTAGCTCAGAGCCTGGAGCCTGTTTCAGATTCTGTACCTCCCTCCCTCCCTCTCTCTCTGACCCTCCCCTGCTCACGCTGTCTCTCTCTCTCTCAGAAATAAATAAAAACGTTAAAAAAAATTAAAAAAAAAATTGCTGAATCAAAACACATTCTTTTTTTAAAAAATGTTAAATGTTCTAAATTATTTTCTGGAAATTTTTCTTGAATTTTTAAATTCTTATCCTCCAGAGGTAGTTGAAAGATTGAATTCTTTATATGGAAATAAACTTGAGGGATTTTATTTATTTTTAATTTTTTTAATGTTTATTTTTGAGATAGAACACAAGTGGGGGGGGGGTGGCAGAGAGCGAGGGAGACACAGAATCGGAAGCAGGCTCCAGCCCCTGAGCTGTCGGCACAGAGCTTGATGTGGGGTTCGAACCCACAAAGTCTGAGATCATGACCTAAGCCAAAGTCTCCACCGACTCAGCCATCTAGGCACCCCGTGAGGCTTTATATTAAATAACAATTTACCAAAATGGAGATTACTATATTCCTATAAGAATTTTATACATACAGAGAATTTTAAATTTAAATATGGATTTATTTGAATCAGTTTAAAAGATTACATTACAAAGTGTTAGAATGTCAGTGCTATTTTGAGTTCTGAATAATTTTGTGAATATAAAATGTATTATTCTATTACAAAATTTTATTCTTAAAAATGATTATGTTTTTCTTGTTTCTTTTAGGTGTTGCACCTCCCTCTTTTGTAGCAATTAAGGCAGGAACAACACTGTACCAGCTTACAACAGCAGGGGAAGCTGTTTCCTGGAACTCAGTATTTGTTCTAATGATTTTGGCTCTTCTTTCTATTCTGCCAGCCATCTTCCAAAAAAAACTAAAGCAGAAATTTGAGTGAGAAATCATCTGGGTTTTAGTTTTCCTGTCATCATCATCATCATCATCATCATCATCATCATCATCATCATCTCAGGATTGGCAGGCTTAGGTGTTAAAATCACCTCTTCAGTAACTGAAACGAGTTTGTAAAATAAAATTTCCTATCACACAGTTAAAATAATTCATGTAAGAGGCAAGGGAGAGAAGAAAGTAAAAATGGAAATTGATATACTACGAAAAGTACGGTGGGTAGTTATGATAGACATCTTCTAAATTACTACTCCAACGGTAGCTGTAGATAATCAGAGCAGTGTAGTGGGAAATTCTTGATCCAACTGAATCAATTTAATATGTTTCATGAACTGTCTATACATATTTATCCTTGACTTGAAAATTCAATATTTTCCTCTCTTATCCCTTACTAATAACTAAAATAGGGAAAGCAAATACAAAAGCAGAGATTCTAGATTTTTTAAAATAGTATTGCAGTTCTTGCTATTGTTAGCCTTCTTCAAGAGCATAAACTTGAAAACTAAAGCTCAAAAGGAGATTTACATTTTCTTCTTTTTTTAACTTTGAGGTAATGGATTTATTTAGAAGCTACACCTGGTGGACTACTGAATTTGGAAAGGATATCAAGCTATATCTGTTTTGTAAATTTTATTTTTGTTTATCCCTGTTCTAGATTATCATGGGTTAGTCTGAAATTTAAAATTCTGGCCAGTCTATTTTCATCTTTTTTTTTCCTAGCTTCCACAGTATTTCCACTGTGCATATAAAAATGGCAATTACATGATAATTGTACTATATTGGTGTTGATAATTTATATTCAGATAATATTTTGTTACACAGTTCCCCTTTACTATCTCAAAAGGGGATCAATAAAAGCAAACAAAGTATGCAGTTTTTAGATGATAGATTAATTATATTACTTTGTATTTTGAAACGGAAGCAGCACAACACTTAAGTGGTTAAATATAGTTTATTTGTTTCAATAACTGTAAAATTTACCTCATTTATTTATTGGTCTGGTCATTAAAGTATGTATTATGTAATTATACATAATTATGTATTATGCATGATACACTTATAAGAATGCCTTGTTTTGTTTTTATTGATGGCTTTTTTGTTTGGGGCTGCTTTTGATTAATGCAGTTACCCAATATAGTGTTTTTACTTTTTATAACTCCAAGTTAAATTAAATCTTCACATGGTAACTACTCTATTTAAATGGTCCTAGAAAAACTTAAACAGCTTTTTGCTGCTTGCTTAATGGTAATACTCTTAATTTCCCAATTCTAGGACATAGCTGATCTATAAGGTACTTTGTCAGGTTTACCTTCACCCAAGACTGTTGTGTTGAAAAGTACTTTAGCTGTGGGAGAAATCCTTGTATGTTTTTATTGTGAGAGGAATGGTCATCCTCAAAGCCTGTTTCTACTACATAATGTGGACTGATTATTTTTTCTATCACAGTATTAACAAATGGATTTATTGTAAATACAAAGAAAATATATTAATGAATATACTATTCTTATGTCATCTGGCCTTTTGTGTGAAATTATTTATTGTCATTTCTAGCAAGGTTTTCTTTCTTCCTTATTGACCAGAGATTGAGTGTTAAAGCTTTTGTTATTTTTACAAATGAACTTAAAAACAGAAGTCTTTTTGGACAAGGTTCACTAAATATTAGTTTATAAAATGTAATTGAGTACATTTTTATCAGACTTTTAAAAATAAAAGAACCTGGACTGAGGAGAAGCCTATTTACTCCAGTGTGTGTATATTATGCATATTCTTAGAGTATTATCCCTATCCTTATCATTGATTATGTCCCTTTGCGCATTTTTTTCCCTGAGTTTCATAGAAAACTGAGTTGTCACTTGGATGAGGTATATATTCTCCTAAGAGAATAGCCAGTCTTTTTTAGATGCATCATAATTGACTGCACCCTAAATCCAGTCAGTGGTCTATATTCATGGATTTATGGACTTGGCCTGATACCAGATTCAAGCTTCAGCCACATTCTGAAGACAGTTACATAGTAATGACCACCAGAGAACAAGTATATGTAGTGGAGAGGCGAGCAGGCTAACTAGGAAGCTGACACACTGAGACTGTTCAATCATTAGTTAATGGCCTTTCTCTGGAGTTCTATTGGAGTATATTTCCAAGATACTTAATAAATGCAAATTAAAATGTAATAAAAATAAGAATAAATTATGGGCATGGAGGAGGGCACTTGTGGGGATGAGCACTGAGTGTTATGTGGAAACTAATTTGACAATAAACTATTTGTAAAAAAATAAATAAAAATAAAATAGAAAAAAAAGAATAAATTGTACTGAAAAACTTAAATGTAGTACTTGGGATTTATTTCATGGAAGTATTTATGTTAAAACAAAACCCTTTCATTGAATAAAAATACATTCTCCAATTCTGATGCACATTTTCACCTCTAAGAACAAAGAAAAATTTTAAGACCTTTTATTTTTGAGAATCTTAAGTCAACATTTCAGATTGTAGAGGTGGGGCGCCTGGATGGCTCAGTTGATTAAATGGTTCATCCGTGTGCTGAGAGTGGATCCTGCTTGGAATTCATTCTCCCTCTATCTTGCCCTACCCCACTTACACTGCTCGCTCGCTCGCTTGCTCTCAAAATAAATAAAATAAATAACAAATAAAATTGTGGAGGTAAGTAAATACAGGTAAACATCTAAGTTTCTACTTTACATAATGATTTCTCTATAAAAATTCTTTTTTAAATGGTTAGAATAAATCAAAAGGGCTGAAGCTTTCCTCATGTGTAAATGATCATTCACCACTTGTAGTTTGGAGGTTTAGAAAATGAATCTTAGTGCAATTTTATTATTTGTCATTTTTTCTTCCTTACCTGGGAATAACGTGCTAGGCTGGGTGACATTACGAAGAGATTGTTTAAACTCTAGCCCTCATTTTTCTCATCTGGAACAAGTGACTTCTAAAGTCCAGGTTCCTTATAGCTCAGACATGATAGAATTCTCTGAGATTAATGAAAAAGATTAATATGCCCTTTTTTTTAAGAGGGAGAGAGAGAGCATGAATGGGGGAGGCGCAGAGAGAATCCCAAGCAGGCTCTGTCAGTGTGGAGCCCAAAGGGTCAATCCCACAGCCCTGAGTTCATGACCTAAGCCCAAATCAAGAGTTAGATGCTTAAGTGACTGAGCCACTCAGGCCCCCAATAAGCCCTTCTAAATAAAAATATTTAAGTATAGCTTGTTTTATAATGTGCTTTCATGTATATTATCTCATTTAGACAAATTATTTTATTTGTAATGAAATATTTCAGAAAACAAAACATGGGCTATTTCCATTTGCTTACTTTGCTAGTCACACAAAATAGGGTAAAATGGAAATTGTATAGGGGGCTAAATGGACTCTTCTAAAAAGTCTTTTTGTCCTGGAAATAATTTGGTATGAAAAGCAGAAACCATAACATCAAGTCTTATGATGACCACTATGTATTAGCAGGGACTGTGTTTTGAGAGTAGAAGGTGGACTTACTGAATTCCTAAATCTAAGGTTCAGTATCATCCAGCATTTGGAGCTGTGCCAAATGGGCATTCTTGTCATGATGACTGAACTGCTAGGAAAAGAGGGCTGGGGAGTAGAATTGACCCAGTATATTAACCATGAGAGTTCTGGAGTACCACCTCAAAGTCTGAGGGGAGTTTTAAAAACTCAGATCAACATAACAACATGGAAGTTGAGGGAATATATGGTTCAAGTTTGTACATTTTTCTCAACTTTCTGGAGTTCTCTTCATTAAGTTATAGTCTGGAAGATGATATTTTGTCCAGCATTAACTGATATTTCTTGAGAAAACAGGTTCTTTCCTGGAAAACTAACAGGCCCAAGGCTGACATGAGTGTGGGTTTAAAACCCCTACCTTACTTTCATCTTTGAGACAGGATTTCCTGGTAACTAGGTCAGCGGTTGGACTTGCTTTTGAACTGTTAGAACACCAGTCAAGGTTTGTGATAGCTAATTTTATGTGGCAGTTTGCCTGGCCTATGGGATGCCTCACAGACATCTGTGAGGATGTTTTCAGACTTGAATTGGTGGTCAGAGTAAAGCAGATAGCCATCCCCAAGTCACTGAGGGCTGAGGGCCAGGTTGAATTCATTCTGCCTGACTGTTGAGCTGAGACACTGATCATCTGTCCCCGCCATTCCTGTTTCTCAGGCCTTCAGACCAGGACTAGAAATTGACATCATGACACTCAGACCTTCCAGCTATGCCACAGGCCTTCCTGGGTCTCCAGCTTTCAGACAGCAGATGGTGGGCCCTCTCAGCCTCCATAATCACATGAACCAATACCTTCTAACAGATCTCTTTACATATCTATATATATATCTCCTCTTGGTTCTGTTTCTCTAGAGAACCCTAATTCAAGGTTACAAGCTACTCTTAACTAGAGACAGGAAGTAGCAATAGATATTGCAGAGGAAACTTGAAACTTACGGTTAGAAAATGCCACATGTTATAGAAGTAGAGGCATTGGAAGTGATGAAGGAGTAGTGATTGATACAAAACATTAGAATTTACCATCAAGGGGGCGCCTGGGTGGCTTAGTCTGTTAAGCTTCTGACTTTCGCTTAGGTCATGATCTCGCGGTTCGTGGGTTCGAGCCCCACGTCAGGCTCTGTGCTGACTGCCAGCTCAGAGCCTGGAGCCAGTTTCAGAGTCTGTATCTCCCTCTCTCTCTGACCCTCCCCTGCTCACGCTGTCTCTCTCTCTCTCCTAGAAATAAAAAAAAATAAAAAAAAAAAAGAATTTACCATCAAGAATTATATGTGGTCTCAAAGGTGCAAATGCTCATGTCACTGTAGGGCTATGGAATATAATGCATATAATGCATTTGGTAACGTGGATAATCATCAATTTATACATATAGCTTCTGGCTATGCAAAAGTAGGAAGGAAGAAGATTCTCTATATGTAAGGCTTGGGGGATTTTGCATCAAGTCATGTAATAAGCATGCTATGGGGATGCATCTTAGAACATTAACCCTAGCTGGGTTCAAACCTTACAGGAGTGAAGGGTTAACTGTAGAAACTAAGACCGCCAAAAAACCCGAGATCATCTTTCTTAGGGCTATAATTTGGGTGGAGGAGAAGCAGGATGAGACACTGGTCATCTTCAGATAATAATTCTAACCAGCCTTGTTGGGAAGGAGGTCTCAGTTCAGACTTGAACTGGAATTGCGTTCAGAGGCCCAATGAGTAAGGTTCTGGGCAATAGAAATAACCACATTCCCTTTTGGTCAAAATACTGCCTGAATGCTACCCTGGCCATCAATTTACTTCGGCTAAGAATGTGTGGGAAGGCTTGGTTACAAACAAAACAGAAGCCTAGCAGGCCTTAGAATATATGGGGAAGGTTCTGGAAAAACAAAGGGCTACTTGCGGGTGGGAGGGTGGGCATTGGGATCAACACTAACCTGTTGTTACTGTTGTGGTGAAGCTGGGCATTTGGGGGCACCCTGCATTCATGTCCTGGTACTTCATAAAGTGGTTATTAGGTTTCATTGATTGCAAGCAACAAAAATTGACTCTGGCTTGAGCAAAAGGATTTTTATCAGCATCTCTGGAAGCTGGAACCCAGAAACACTAGAATGGCCTCATAGCAGGATGCAAGTCTGCTTCTGCCGATGAAATGAATAAATTACAACTGTCTTAACCTTGTTTTCAATTGCTCAGCATTCACATTCCAGGGGTCACATGCCCACCATTCAGCCAGGGGAGTGCAAGGTACCTGATTACAGTTCACCAAACTAATGCAAAAAGCAATTAGAATGCTGACAGGAGGGAAAAATGGATTCAAAAGCAACAAATGGGAAATTTGAAAAGAGCTGCAGTAATTGAGCAGAAAGCTTGGAGGTCATACATGCCATGTCATGTCCTTTCCCCTAACAGTGACAGAGACTCTGGAATGAAACCCTGAAACCATCAGGAAGTCCTTATATTATATGCTTTCTTGGTGTGGGACAGAGACAAAAGAGAGACCTGGTTCTGAGGGTGAGGAGAGTGGCAGAAGACCCTGCCTGGCAACTCACCCAATTTGGAGGTTTTGCTATCTTATCCAATAAGAATATGCAATACAGAACCCTTAAAGTGAAAGCCCCCAAATTTTGCCTCTCTGTCAGTCTTTATCCCAAAAATGGCTCATGCATACATCCAGTTTTTTTATGCCAAACAGTAGCCATTCTTTATTCTCTCTTCACCCAAATACAGTTAGTTCATCAGCAAGACTTTTTAATTGTACCTCCAGAACTCTTGACTCTAACTTCTTCTTCCATAAATATTGCTAGCTATCTTAGTTAGTCTAAGTCCATCATTACCCCTGACCTGAAGTACCTTACTAATATCCTAATTTGTCTGCCTTGTCCCAAGCTTGCTTTCCTAAACTCCAGTATTTACACAACAGCCAGCACAATCTCTTAAAAACTCAAGTTACCTTTCAAAATGGTGAACTAGAATAGCCTGTTGGCTTCCTCTCCA